CTTAGCCAAAGAGTTTAAAATTAAAGATTTCGGAGTACTAAAGTACTTTTTCGGAATGGAGGTGGCTAGATCTAAGAAGAGAATTTCGGTATCTCAACGAAAATATGTTCTAGATCTTCTGAAGGAGACTGGGATGCTAGGAATTAAGCCTGTTGACACTCCTATGGATCCAACCATCAAATTTGGATTCGAAATCAGTGATAAAATAGTTGATAGAGAAAGGTATCAAAGACTAGTTGGGAAGCTCATCTACCTAGCACATAGAAGACCCGATATCAGTTTTGCAGTAAGTACAGTAAGTCAATTCATGAATCAGCCAACTGAAGAACACATAAAAGCTGTATATCGAATTTTAAGATACCTAAAGATGACTTCAGGATAAAAATTGTTCTTTCAAAAGACAGTGAAAAGAGATGTTGAAATCTATATTAATGCAGATTGGACAGGCTCAATAAACGACAGATGGTCTACATCAGGGTATTCTACCTATGTTTCAGGAAACTTGGTTACCTGGCGCAGCAAGAAACAGTCAATTGTATCTCGTAGCAGTGCAGAATCTGAGTTTAGGGCACTTGCTCATGGTATATGTGAAGGTATGTGGCTAAAAAAGATATTTTTTAAACTAAAGGTTCCTAACAACATTCTTATGAAAGTTTGGTGTGATAATCAATCAACCATCAGTATGGTTAAGAATCCTGTACACCATGACAGAACCAAGCATGTGGAGATTGATCGTCACTTTATCAAAGAGAAGTTAGAAGATGGTACTAAGAACACTCATGCACATTCCAACCAGTCAACAGATTGCAGACATCCTAACAAATGCTGTACCAAAAAGGATCTTTGATGACATAACATTCAATCTAGGTTTACTCAATATATACGTAAACTAGATTGAGGGGGAGTGTAGAAAATAAAAGAATCAATTCAGTTTTTATTTTTTATTGTTATTAGTGTAGTGTTTAGCCTAGTGAAAGTAATCACAAAGTTGGTGAGGTATAACCAATTTGTTATTCCTCCTTCCCATAAAGTTGTTAGAATTTGGTTGTATTTTTCTTTTAAATTGATACCTTATGGTGATGGAAAGAAAAAGCAAAAGTAGAATTTCCATTCTCTAAAACTTCAAATTCTTCCTCATACAAACCAGTGAAGTAAGTTCTTGGCAGCATTTCTCATGTTCTCATTTCCTTTAAAGATCATATTGTCTACCCACAACTCATCAATATAAATTACATCTCCCATGATGGCTCGCCAAAGCATAGAAATACTTTGTGTTTCGATCTCCTTCCTTCGGCCACTTTTCCCTGGATTTTTGTCTACAAATCTCTACATCCAAGGCAAATTTTACCAGCTAGTTTACCCTTCAGTTGGTCCCTCAGACTGCAGTCAGCTTCCTCCAAATTGTTCATCCCTCTTTAAAGTCTAACTCCTCAATGCTTCTCAGAATAGAACTGACTTCCTCATCATTTTTAATTTTTTCTTCCTTAGTCCACGCCTTTATAGCCTCCTTCAACGCCTTCATTTTTGCAGCAATCCTGAAGCTAACTTTTCCTTGAATCAAAGTTGTTCCCAAATATCTTCCACAAGCCTCCGAAAAAATCCTCTTTTAACCATTTGTTTTCAATTTTGAAAGGAACCGGACCTACTATATACCATCATCTTCCAGAGAAATAGGAAAATGATCTGAAATGGGTCTGGATAATCTCTTATGGCAGAACCCATTCAAATTGAGTAACATCTTTGACGATACTAAAAATCTATCAATCCGAGACCATGAGGGGTTGATTCTTTGGTTAGTCCAGGTCTATCCACCCCGTCATTGGTAAATCAACCAAATCCAAACGATTCAAATTGTCTTTAAATTCCTCAGCCACAGCAATAGAGAAATTGTCACCACTTCTCTCCTCTCTCCTCAACACCATGTTAAAATCTCCCCCAACTATCCAATTGTCACCCC